CACTGAGAGCAACTGGGAGAGACTGGGACTACACTGAGAGCAACTGGGAGAGACTGGAACCACACTGAGAGTGACTGGGAGAGACTGGAACCACACTGAGAGAAACTGGGACCACACTGGGAGCTACTGGGAGCTACTGAGACCACACTGAGAGCAACTGGGAGTGACTGGGAGTGACTGGGACCACACTGAGAGCAACTGGGTGTGACTGGGACATCACTGAGAGCTACTGGGAGAGACTGGGATCACACTGAGAGTGACGGGGATCACACTGAGAGCAACTGGGAGTGACTGGGACCACACTGGGAGAGACTGGGACCACACTGAGAGTGACTGGGAGAGACTGGGACCACACTGAGAGGAACTGGGAGCTACAGAGAGTGATGGGTGTGTGCTGGAGGCAACTGGGATATACTGGGCGTGTCTGTAATGATACTGGAGTGGACAACAATGGGAATAACTGGGACCATGCTGGCGGTGACTGGGAGCAACTGGGAGTGACTGTGTCTACACTGGGGGCCACTGAGATCATAATGACAGTGACTGGGACTGTACTGGGGGCTACTGGGTGCAACAGGGATCACACTGGGAGGAACTGGGAGCAACTGGAACCATGCTGGTGGTAACTAGGGTGACTGGGATCATACTGGGAGTGACTAGGAGCATGCTGGGGGAATTTGCACCACATTTGGGGTAACTGGGATATACTGGGAGCAACTGGGACCACACTGAGTGTAACTGCGTGTGGCTGTGGGCAACTGGAATCATGCTGAAAGCCACTGGGAGGAAGTGGGAGTGACTAGGATCATGCTGGGGGTAACTGGGATATACTGGGAAAGGGAGGGAGTCACAGGGATCATACTGTGAGTAACTGAAACCGTGTCCAGTGCAAGTGAACCCATGCTGGGATCATACTGGGAGCAACTGGGACCATACTGGGAATGACTTGGCACTGACAAGAAGTGGCTGGCATAATACTGGAAGCTACTGGGGTCATACTGGCATTGACAGGGAAACCCTGCAATCACAATGGGGACTTTTGGCATCATCCTGGGAGTTACTGGGATTGAACTGGGAGTGGCTACAATCATACTGGGATCATGCTGGGAGTGACTGGAATTAGATTAGGTGTGAATGGAAATTTACTGGGAGTTACTGGGGAGCTGCTAGGCCCATGCTGGGAGCCAATTGAACATGCAACTGGGAGCAACTGGGAGCACCTGGGTTAATGCTGGAAGCAACTGGGAATAGCTGGGAATGCTGGGTGCACGCTGGTGAATACTGGGATGTACTGGGAGTGACTGGGATAATCCTGGGGGCAACTGAACCCTGCTGAGGTAACTGGGAGTGCTGGGAATGACTCCCAGAATGTTCAGGGCAACTGGGATATACTGGGAGTGTGTGAGACCATATGGGTGGTGACTGGGACCACACTGGGAGCCACTGGGAATGTGCTGGAGGATGGAGAC